TCTAGGGTATTATGTGGCAGGGACTGGTCTGTTTGAATTCTAAAGTCCCAGAGTACTTTAGCTTATTCATTTTCTATTGTTTTATTCCTTTTATGGTCCCGGTTCCTTCTCCTCCTCCCCCAGCCCTTCCTCCTCTTCCTCCTTCCTCCCTCTCCTCCCACCTCCCCCTGTCCCTTCCCCTCAATACTGAGAATAGTAACATTTTCATCATGAGGGCAATTCTTTTTTGGCTAGGGTTGAATGGGGTCTCATGCAAAATCATTCAGGAATGACCATGAATAAATAAAACAATAAACAAAGATAAATATCACTCTCTTTACTCAATGGGTTTGCAAATATCTTTTTCAAAGATCTTCATCCAGTTATGAGGGGGAAGACTGAAAGACTATTGTGCAAATCTATCCACAGGGAGAAATTCCCAGGCAGCTTCCTGAAGTGAGGCACAATTTGCTTTTATTCCCCCTAATATTTTTCATATATGTTTTGTTTGTCTCTTGAGAGACAAATGGGAGCAGCATCAACTATGGTGTGTTGCTATTACATTTCCATCTCCACAAAGCCCCATAGCTCTGGAATCTGAAGAAGGGACATGACACTTAGCCCAATTTGAAAAAAATAATCCTATTACAGGTAGTCTTTGACTTACAACCATTTGTTTAGTGACTGTTCGAAGTTACAACGTCCCTGAAAAAGTGACCTATGATCATTTTTCACACTTATGACCATTGCAGCCATCCTCATGGTCATGTGCACAAAATTCAGACACTTGGCAACTGACTCATATTTGTGACGGTTGCAGTATCCCGGATCATGTGATCATTTTTTATGACCTTCTGACAAGCAAAGTCAATAGAGAAGCCAGATTCACTTAATTGTCACGTTACTAATTTAACAGATGAAGTTATTCACTTAATAACTGTGACAAGCAAGGTTGTAAAATGGGGCAAAACTCATTTAACAACTATCTCACTTGGCAACAGAAATTTGTGGTCGTAAGTTGAGGACTACCTATACCTTATTTTTGTCATTAGGGGCAATATTGCTTGCCCAAAGATGCTTATAATTCTGAGAGAATACTTAGAAAAATCAGAACTCCATGTTCCAAGTACGGTATCTAGTCTGGGACAGATAGTGACTTCCCCAAGATCCATTCTCAAGATTGATGGGACTGAACAAATTAGATAAGTTGCTCTATCTTGTGTGAATTGAAAACCATTCTTTTGAAATATATCATCCATATCTGCCAAACTGTTTTCTTCATGGTACAGAATAGAGAAAGGATCACTAGCATCCTATTTTCCAACTCTGATCCTCTACTGTTATGTACATAAAAGATAAAAGCTGGGACAGCCAAAGGCCATTCAGATTTGGACTATCCTTGCTAATATCAGGCCCAGAAGCCATCTTTTGCATTGGATCTTCAGACTTGCCACAATTACTGCTGTGGGAAACTAGGAGTGGGGCTTGTATGGAGCAGGGGTGATAACTGTCTTAATAACATTCTTTTCTCAGAGAGTCAAAAACATCTTCCCTGCACCTGGAGGGGTGTGGCTGGGAGGCTTCTCCAGTTGGGACGGTGCTTGATTGGACCATGTGATGAATTTGTGGGTGCTGGGCAGGAACTTGGACTTTCCTTTGGGTGGGGAAAATCTGGAAGCTTTCAGATTCAGATTTTCCCAGATGTGCCAATATGTCATCTCTAATAAAATGGAACTTTGAGGAACTTCAAGCCTTGGAGTCTTTTTTCGTTGGGTGCATTACTTGGAATCCTGACAGCTAATTCTCCACAGTTGCCACTTTTGATTACTGTAAATATATAGATAATGCACATTCTAACCTGTTACTCTTGTCTGTCTTTCCTGATCTGTGTTTATCTCTTATCCCATGTTTATCAATTCACCAATGTTTAAATGTTTGCTGATGTTTAATAATTAAACATCAAGATATATTTTAGCTAAGTAAACTGAGTGGCATATGTACTTACTCTGATCTGGATACATGAACTAATTGGGAATGTGCTGGATGCAAACTGAACTAGAAGTCACCCACAATAAATTTCCAAAACATTTCACATCAGTGTCTTGCCTTGCACTTAAACCATATTTAAATTCATATTTTGTGGTGTTTAAATATTGTCAAGAACTGTGTAACATTTCAGTCCTGATCAGAAGCCCTCCATAGTTGTGGTGTTATGTTTCAAGACAGGTACATTAAAACCAACACACATCTGACATAGATAGTTTAGCACTGAGACTCATGGATGAAACAAAGCAATAAGAAAACCACTCCAGGCAAATCCATTAAAAGCTTCATTTTGGAGGTCGGTATGACCTTATATTATTTTTATAAATTTGATGATCCCAATCTCCCTGGAAATGAAATGATAAACTAAACATAAATTCATTGGGAATATTTGGGAAAGATTGAGAAACTTAGTCTAGCATTTTAAATCTAACAACAACAGCAAAAGAGAGAGAGAGAGAGAGAGAGAGAGAGAGAGAGAGAGAGGGAGGGAGAGAGAGAGAGAGAGAGAAGCCACCTTAAAATAGCCTGAATTCCTTGTGAACAGTACTCAGCTAATATACTATTTGTAGGCACAAAAGATAAAATGGCTTTGATGTTTATGAATTGCTATTGTCAAAGCTGTACAAGCAAAATACAGTACATGGCATGTATATACACAAGCACCCCAACTTCATCTTTAAAACATGGCAGAGAACTTAACAAGTGATAACTTCAGATAAAGCCACTGTTGGGTCAAAGAATGAATTAAAGAATATTGCTTTTAGTCTGGACTTGAAAGCATTCAAAGAGACAATATTCTAAATCTCTACTGGCAGAATATTCAGGGTAGCCATGGAAGAAGCACTTAAATGCAGTCTCTTTCAGCAGAAGATTTATAATGATATTCCTGTATAGCATTTGCATATCATAAAAAAAAATAATCAGGAATGGACAGCAAGAAGGTTATATATCCCAGCTGGAAACTCCAGTCCTAGAAGGCAGATCAAAATTAGGAATACTTTCAAGCCACACAACAAAAGCCCCAAAATGGATTGCTTACTAGGGATTCTGAAATAGTCCTAGAAAATACCTCCCTTCATTTCCTGTTGCCTGATTTTGGGTTTCCTTTTCTGTGCATGGTTTACTTTCCCCATTAGTCCATGCTATTCATTTTACCATTTTATCTGAACTCCTAAACACAACATTTTCTTTTGCTTCAGAATTCTGTGAGGAGAGGCAGATCTTGAAGCTGATGCTTGTTCTACAGGAACATGGATCTAAGCAGTATTCTGCTCACGGAAAATATCAAAGGGACCTTGAGGTCACAAAACTGGAAATATTGCCTTAATGACAGTCTAATATTTGTAAGAACCAAGTCCTCGCTCAAAAGAATATCAAATTATGTATTTAGATAATACATAATAGAGGTGGTATTTAGCAGGTTCTGACCAGTTCTGGAAAACCGGTAGTGGAAATTTTGAGTAGTTCAGAGAACCTGTAAATACCACCTCTGACTGGCCCCACCTCCATCTATTCTCTGCCTCCCGAGTCCCAGCTGATCCAGAGGAAATGGGGATTTTGCAGGAACCTTCCCCTGGAGTGGAGAGGGAATGGAGATTTTACAGTTTCCTTCCCCTGGACTGGGGCGGGAATGGAGATTTTACAGTATCCTTCCCCTGCCACACCCACCAAGCCATGCCAGCCCACCAAGCCATGCCACGCCCACCAAGCAACACCCACAGAGCTGGTAGTAAAAAATTTTTGAATCCCACCACTGGCACAGTGGTTAGAATGCAGTACTGCAGGCTACTTCTGCTGATCGCCGGCTGCCAGCAGTTTGGCAGATCGAATCTCACCAGGCTCAAGGTTGACTCATCCATCCACCAGGTGGGTAAAATGAGGACCCAGATTGTTGGGGGAAATATGACTCTGTAAACCGCTTAGAGAGGGCTGTAAAGCTCTATGAAGTGGTATATAAGTCTAAGTGCTATTGCTATTACCAAGACAATGGTCAGAGAAGTGTGTTTCAGCTCAGGCCAAGAAAGTAACTTAAGAAAATGTCTCAGACAAGTTCCTCCCAAGTTCACACTAAGATAAAGTGAGGGAGGATGAAGCACATTCAGACTTGCAAACTTCTGTTACTATAGCTGTTACAATAAAAGTAGTCCTGATCTATACAGCATTGTTTTCTCAGTCTGGTCTTATTTGTTGGGCTCACAGATTAATTTTTTTTTTATAAACTTCCTTTTATAAATTAGATAAGAGAGGTGATTTGCATATGTCACCAAATGGAGTGAATTTTTACACCCACGTAGCCGTATTCTTTTAATAGAGTTGTTCAAAAAATCTGGTATTCCTACTTAGTGAAATGTAGAGGACAAGAAGAAGTGAATGCAAATATTTTCTCCATATCTCTTGGCTACATCCCTTGTCACCACCCATTGACTATTAATGAGAAAGATGACAGGTAGTCTTTCTCATTATTGCCAAATACACAATTCATAGGTGCTATTGTCAATGGGAATTTGATGAACAGACAGAGTATCACTTCCCCTCATCTTGCCACACATGTTTAATAAACATATAGGATGAAAGTATCTGAAGAGTCCTCTTCATTGCCATCATTTCATGAGTGCTCTACTCATGAATCAGAAATTCTCCACACATTTTTCATTATTCAATGTACATTAAAAGTCTTGTTTTAGATATCCCGAAATATCAAAATATGTCAGAATGGCTAAAGTCACCCAGTGAAGTTTATGAGTTTTCCAAATACTAATCTGTTTCTGGTATCAGTCAATGGCCACGAGATTTATTTCTTATGCCGTTTTTCTTTATATCCTGTTCACAACCAGTCAGGACTAATATATCATGTATTAGAGATTTTCAGCTCAACTTCAAGCATATAGTCCATGAGAGGATTGTTTGGTTTTATATTTGAGAGGAAAGCAGAAGACAGATGAGAGCAGTATATAGCAAGCGGAACTTTATGGCCATTGCATCATTATTTATTTATTTATTTTTAAAATTTACTTGCCACCTATCTCCCCATAGGGCTACCCTGGGCAGCGTACCATAATAAAAACAAAGAAATGAAAAGAAATGTAAACAAAACAGAAGTAAAATAATAGAACAATAAAACAACAAAAAAGAAAACAATAAGAATACATAAATCCAACAGCCACCTCCAGCATGGAAATCCCTCATTGTGTCCCTAAGCCAACAGGGAGACCCAGATCTTCAAGTTCCTAGGAAGGTCAGGGCAGATCTTATCCTGGAGGGTAAGATGTTCCAAAAGTCAGACATTGTGACATACAAGGCTCTTCTTCTGGATCCTGATAGTCAGAATTCTTAGACAGATAGGATCTGTAGTAGGCCCTCTTTGCTGGTACAAGTTGGATGAGGTTACCTAGTGGGATGAGACAGTTTATCAGGTAGCCTGGACCTATGCCATTAAGGACTCTAAAAGTCATAATTAACACCTTGAATTTCGCCTGGAAGCAGACCAGTAGCCATTGCAATTCATGGAGTAGAGATGTATTATGGACCACTCTAGGGACTCTAAAGACTATTCTCACTTTATATTAGCTGAAGCTTCTGAATGAATTTCAAGGGTAGCTCCATGTAGAGCACATTGTAATAGTCCAGACATGAGATGATTAGGGAATAAGTAACTGAGTATAGGGAGCCATGATCCAGGTAAGGTTGCAGCTAGGACAACAATCAGATCTGTGCAAAATCTCTCCTAGTTGCAACCGCCACCTGCTTTTTAAGCAGGAGACATAAGTCCAGGAGAACCCCCAAGTTGCAAACTGGATCTGAATGGCATAGTGTCGTTGTCAACTAAGGATGACAAAAACTCAGATCGTAAGGCTCCATGCACCCAAACCACTCAGTCTTGCCAGGGTTCAGTTGAAGTCTGTTGTCCCCCATCCAGTCCCTACAGCCTCCAGGCATCGCAGGAGGGCAGAAACAGCATCATTCAGGTGATCTGAAGTAGAAATGTAAAGCTGAGTACCATCAGCAAATTGATGATCTCAATCCATGGTAATGGATGATCTTACCCAAAGGTTTCATGTAGATGTTAAATAGGAGAGGAGAGAGTACTGAGCCCTACAAAACACCACAAACGAGCAGTCAGGGGCTGCTAATCTCATTCCCTATTAATGTTGATTTGGACTGACCTTGAAGATAAGAGATGAATCAGTGCAAATTATCCATGATATATGATGACATAATTCCATTCATTGACTATGTACATGCTGGATGCTGTGTATAAAACATGAAATTTCTAGATTCTACTCTTAATACATTTCTATCTTCATTTTTAATGTGTTTCTTGAACAGCAGGCATCTTCCAAGTATGTTTTTTTCCTCATAACTTTCCTCATAACAGTATTGTACAAAGAAAATATTCTGCAGGGTTCAATCTGGGTCAGTCACTGGGACCACAGATTTTGTCTTCCGAGCTTTTGGACTTATGCTGGAGCCCATCGTCAAGGAACTTCTCTCTAGCAGAGTGTGTGCTGTTCTAGTTCTGGTCCCAGTGACTGACCCAGATTGGATCCCACAATATTATCCTGGGACACATATATTCACCTTCATTCATGAAAAAATATTCTGGCTACTTCATTGAGTGTGAGGATGGAATTCTGAGATGCCATCATTCTGAGGTTTATTGCATCATTTAATTGCATGGAGAGAGTTCAGAGTCTAAAACTGTGGGCAAACATATCAGGAACTAATCCCAGAAACACTCCAAAAGTCAAGTGTGTTGGTGGAATAAAATCCAAATATACATTTATGATTACCATTGTAAACAAAGAGACATGTTGCAAGGTAGCTTCAAACTAACAGAACTTCCTTAAAATTCTTTATAAAATATATATTCAATTTTTATTGGATTTAGAAAATCTATTGTCAGTAGAACAACAGACAGCCTTCTATTGAGCTAATAAAACTCTTACAATGACTTTGTTTTGATATTCTCTTGAGATCCCCCCCAACAGAAGTTCCTTCAATAGAGTGCACTAATATAATGTATCCCTTTTTTTTCTCTCATACACACATACATGTGTATTGTCTTCATGAACATTAATCAAGTTGACCTTTGTAAGTACAGTTGTACCTCGATACTCATTGTTAATTGGTTCCGGGAGGCATGACGGGTATTCTACCTTACATGCTGAATACTGAACAAATGATGAGCACCGGGACAAAATGTTCATGTCAAAATGTGTCAAGTACCAAGTATCTTTCAGAACAGTTGAGTACTGAGGTACCACTGTATTATTAGAAAATAAAAATGGTAATCAACGATTCTTTGGAATCTGTGCATATATATATAAAAAAACAGAAAAGATGTAGAGAAAAAAGACATGATAAATGTAATTCAGGAATAAAATGGAGCTTTTCATAAAAGGACACACAAGGACAAGGGTTGCCTCATGCCTAACAGAGGTGGACATTCTTGAGACAGGGTGAAGCCTTGGTGGCAGAAGTTTGCCTATCATTTCTGATTTGCAGATTACAAAGTAGTTGGTTATTTGTCTTCCACAGATGGCAAACCCAACTGTGTCAGCCTGTCACACTACATAAATTGGATGATAATGAAATAAATCACCTTCTCTTATTGCATCACACAAAAGCCACAAATATGGGAAACGAATGTTTTCTATTTGTGTTATCTGGGAATATGGATATAGTTCCTGAACTTTTCTATAGAAAGCTGGGAAAATAAGGATGAGATTCTGTTATTCCTGTGAATTTATAAAAGCTTCTCTCTCTCTTTTCTCTCTCTCTCTCTCTCTCTCTGTTAGCTTTGTCTTTTTTTTTGCTCTGGTTAAATTATCGTAAATGCAGCAGTTAAATAATGTTGTCTCGGTTGCTAATGTGATCCTGGATGGTTGTTATTTTGGACTGGGAAGCTGGTTACACTTCAATGCTTTTAATCTCCTTCTATGCAGGACAGTGTCTTGAGTCGATTCCAAAGGCTAATGCTTTCTGTTGTTTCTGCTGCTGCCACCACTGCTGGATTCTCAGGGCTTCCGGTGATTTTCAATGACATAACAACAAAGGGGGGGGGGGGGGAAGCAACCTTTGGGGTCAGATATATCTCTTGTTGTAGCATATAAAGAAATGTGGTAAAGTGAAGTTTGTGTACCAAGGCTGTAAAAAAACACCACCACCAAACTATTGTAATGTCTATATTCTCTGATTAAAACTTGGAAACCCAGGAAAAAGGGAAGCCCAGATTATTGGAGCAGAGGAAACATCTACATTAGAGTGTTGATTTTTAGTAACTATGTAGATTTTCTCTAGAATGATCTATGCCTGATTTGGTCCTATAGGCATTTTAATGATGCATTCATCACCACAGTAAGTCCCTGCAGCTCCCTGTTGGATAGCATCTTTTTCCCTCCCTTCCATCTTTCCTAACTTTATAGACTTCTCAAAACATCTAGGTTTTTACATCATTCATCTAAAATATGATAATGTAATGTAATAACCTAGTCACTTGTCCTTGAGTGAGAACTCTGTGATTAATACTATCATACCTTTATTTGTTTTCCTCACGATCCATGGTACTCACCTTCAATGCCAAAATTCAAAAACATCAATATTCATCCCATCCTGCTTATTCAAAGTTCAGTTAGTAAGTTTGCAACAAGATTCAGAACATTCATGGAATTAAAATTTGTTATGTAAATTTTCCCAATCAGTTGCACTGATAAGAAAATTTTGTTGAATTTATCCTTTCCACAAAGATCCTGTGTGTGTGTGTGTGTGTGTGTGTGTGTGTGTGTGTGTGTGTGTGTGTATCAGCCTTGTCTGATATGCAAAATAGAAATAATGTTAATATTCAGAAGATTTCCTATACTCACTCTCTCTCTCTCTCTCTCTCTCTCTCTCTCTCTCTCTCTCTCTCTCTCTCTTTCTCTCTCTCTCTCTCTCTCTCTCTCACACACACACACACACACACTTACTTTCTTTTCCTACCCTTAATTTCCAATGCAAATGAGGAAGGAAAATATTTCAACAGATCTCCAATGAAAACATCCATTTCTGTATTTGAGAAGCTATTAAAAAATCATTCTTGATAGGTGAGCCTATGGAGGGGAGGAAGAGTGGGACAGAATAAAGACAGAAATGCAGAAGTCAGACTTTCTTAGAATGGAGACCAAAAATTGCTGACCTTTTCACTTGGTAGCTTTCTATCTTTGATGCACTTCCTTATCATCTTGTCTCTGAAAAAAAATTACTGCTTTGCAAGGGGCGACAGCACCAATAAGTCAAGGAACACTTGACTTCAGTTTTTCACTGGAGGGTGAATGTCACATGATAATTGGAGGCTTTGTACTAGTTTGACAGAAACATTTGAATACTCTGAGGGGTCAAGAGAAAGAAGAACTTTTTGTGAAGGGGGAAGAGGAAAGGGATGCACTCTGGAAAAAAGGAAGTCTACTACCCTTGAAACTGCTCCATAGGAAGGGATTCTAGCTCTTTCTTTCTCATAGCAGCATGCCTGTTTCTAATATCGACAGGAATCTACCATGCCTGCCCCTCAACCCCCATCATTCATCACCATCAGCCATGCAAGGGAATCAAAGACTTTAAGAAGGTTTGAGGATTCTTGCCACCTGACCTAAGCATGTCCAGCTTATCTCAGCCCATTTTAGGAAGGTGACCCCCAATTGCCTTTTTTAGCCCTGAGTGAAAAGTAGTGTTTCTTCCTCTCCACTGGAATAGGCAAAGCAACCTACTGTGCTTTATTCCATCCTGCACAAATTCCTCCCTTGCAAATGGCTCATATATACCATGAAAGGCACATCCCTGGTCTTTACTGTCTTTGTTAGTTATAGTGGTACCTCAGTGGTCATCATTAATTGATTCTGGGAGGTACAATGAGCGCTAAAAACAATGAATACCAAAAAAATTCTCCCCGTAAGGAATAGTGTAATGAGTCACAAGGCAACTGACACTGACAAATTCTAGCTTGTGCATTGAGTACCAAACAAATGATGAGTACTGGGACAAAATTTTCAAAATGTGTTGAGTGCCAAATTAGATGAGTTTCAAAGCAGTTGAGTACCAGGATACCACTGTATTTCAGACTAGGGTGCTGACTGGCTGCCTTTTATGAAAGGAGGGATATTTGCATTTGTTTATATATTTTCTACAGTAGGAAAATGCAGGACATTTTTTTCCCCTTTTTTAATTGGGTGAACCTAACAGTTGAAGGGCTCATTAATCACAGTCTGAACTGAGGACAAGTTCATGTAGTAATTTGCAGGTAATCAAAGGAACTGCCAATATGTTTTTATTTTATTTTATTTTATTTTGAATTTATATACCGCACCTTCTCCCGAGGGACTCAGGGTGGTGTACAGCCAGCTAAAAACATACAATAGAAACATTAAAAACAATTAAAAGGATATATATTAATTTGGCCCCAATTTAAAATGACAAACCAGTTAAAAATGTTTTTTAAAAATGTTATGTTAAGCCAGCCTGGCTTGCTGGAAAAAGAAAGTTTTAAGGGCACGGTGGAAGGCACCGAGGTCTTGAATTCTCCTTATCTCTGGGGGCAGAGATGTTGTAAGAAGAAAGTGGTGAATTGATAATGGAGGAGGTGGAGGCAGAATGTCTTAACCATCGTCATCTCTCAGGGGAAACAAAGCCCTGGTTGGCCCTCATTGTGCTATCAGTGGAAGGAAGGAACTGTAGGAAAAGGTAAAAACCTAAGGGTATAGTTAACTAATTTAAACAAATTCATGTCTCCAAGACCAGAGGAATTACATCCTTGGATACTGAAGAAATTAGGAGAGGAGATAGTAGAAGCAGCATTACCTTTGAGGCACTGGTGAAATCCAATTTTTTTTACTACCGGTTCTATGGGTGTGGCTTGATGGGTGTGGTGTAGCTTGGTGGGCATGGCAGGGGAAGGATACTGCAAAATCCCCATTCCCTCCTCACTCCTGGGGGAAGGATATTGCAAAACCTCCATTCCCACCTCACTCTGGGGCCAGCTAGAGGTGGTATTTGCCGGTTCTCCGAACTACTTAAAATTTCCACTACTGGTTCTCCAGAACCTGTCAGAACCTGCTGGATTTCACCCCTGCTTTGAGGACTCCTGAAGAACAGGTGAAGTCTCAGAAGACTGGACCACCAATGTTTCTCCGTCTTCAAAAAAAAAAGAAAGAAAGAAAGCAGGAGGACTTGGGAAATTAAAGGTCTATAAGTCTCACGTCTACACCAGGCAAAGCTCTGAAACATATTATTAAATTAGTTTAATATTTATTACATTGATATGTTCTCCAGAGTTGCTTAGACAGTGAGATGGGTGACATATAAATTTAATAAATAAAATAAAATAAAATAAATGTTGCCTATTTGATGAAATTTAATAGAGGGACATGCAAAGGGCTTGCACCTGAGAGAATAAACAGGAGAGACACAATTATATGGGAGATCTTCTTTGGCAGTGGTACATGTGGAAGGAATTTGACTACTCTAGTAGATCCCAAATGGAACATGGGCCAAGGATGTGCTGCAACTGCTAAAATGCTTGGTCCTTAACTGAAATACTGTGTCCAGTCTTAGGCACCACAGTTTAAAACGGACAAACG